CTTTTATTATTTGCCATGCTCCAATGCTACCAATTCTAGAACTATGATGTTGAAACAATAGTTCTAATTGATAATTAAAAATTACTTTCCCAAACTCATGCTTCTTATTCTTTCCATTCTTTCCATTTTTGGGATGCCCCTTTAGATAGCAGCTCCCTATTTGAAGCAATTTTCTACATGCAGTGTGGCATGTGCTCGGTTATTGGGCTCTGTTTACTGCCCTGACACCCATTCCTGATACCTCTTGTCCCATGGATATGGCCCTTACCTCCTCTGATTCCTCTTATGCTTTTCCACTCATTTGTGCAGTACAGAATATGAAATATGTGGCCATGTCTGTGCTGTGAGAAAGCTTTTCATTAGGTGATGTATAATACTGTTTAACCGATGAAATTCAGAAATGAAAACATCAAAGAATCAATAAGGAAACTGAAAATAATAAATCTGCCATGAAGTGATCTCTGTTAAGCAGACCTTGCATGGCACATTGAGTTTCCCTCTTTGACAGTCTGTTCCTAATGAAAAAAATATGCAGACAGATTTTGTTTCTGAAACAGTTTGAAATTCTATGCATTTATGCAACTCTTGCTATTATGGATATTGTAGAAATACATCCTCAGTAGGGTTATAATAGTGTAGCTCTCAGCTGTCATGGTATCCATGACCATCAACAAATATTTCGGTCTGAAAATTGTTTATGGCCACTCTGCATGAATGAGGAATCTGCAAACTGCTTTCACCTTGAATTCTGATAGAAATTTTACATGGCTTCATCTTCATACCAATTTGCATAGTTTAAATAAGGATTTTCTAGTGATTTACAGAAATACATCATGTCACTGCAACCTATGGAAAAAGGAGTTCTTTTATCCCATTATACAACACAGTAAAGATCTAGCTGATTAACCGATAAAAATCTCAAGACATCCCTATTGCAGTGGCACAGGAATTCAGGTAATGCACTTCAGAACTGCAGTGCCAAATACATTTTCATATGGCTCATGAATCCTAAAAAAGCTGCATTTGCTCATCTCGATTATAGTGTGAATTAAGTGCAGCAGCTGTAAGGCTGACATGTTTTGTTGCTTTCATAATGCAGTAATGAGTCAGAGTTAATCCAGGCTTTTATTTGTCCTCAAAGAGCAGCAGAAAAAAAACACGAACCAAAACCTTGTGCCCATTGTTGTTGAGCAGAAATAAAATGTTTTACTGATGTAATTTTTGTTGCTTTACCTATCTGCTGTATGCTCTCTACTTCATCTAGAGGGAACAGACTGGGAAATACTTGTATTTCACAGAATCACACCAAATCACAGAATGTGAGGAGTTGGAAGGGACCTGCAAAGCTCCCCCAGTGCAACCCCTGCCACAGCAGGATCACCAGAGCAGTCACACAGGAACACGGCCAGGGCTTTGGGTGTCTCCACACAAGGAGACTCCACAACCTCTCTGGGCAGCCTGGGCCATGCTCCATAACCCTCACACTCACAAACTTTGGCCTCATCTTCAGCTTGAACCTCCTGTGCTCCAGCTTGGGACCATTGCCCCTTGTCCTGCCATTGGCCATCCCAGAGCAGAGCCTGGCTCCTTCCTCTTGACACTGCCCTTCCCAAATGGATCCCCAGGAATGAGGGCACCCCTCAGTCTCCTCTGCTCCAAGCTCAAGAGCCCCAGCTCCCTCAGCAGGAGATGCTCCACTCTCTCCATCATCTAATCATCACAGGAAAGCCTACAGCATGTGGGAGATGCTCAGTGTGTTTACTCCCTTTACTCAAGGAGAAATCAGATCCAAGAAGGTGAAGAAATGTGGAATAGTCGAGCCCAGGACAAATTGTGCTGGGGAGAAATAGAAAGGCTATTTGTGTTTTTAGTATCTGTTGCCTCAGCAGCACTCAATGTGGTCAAGTCAGATGAGAGCTTATGGCTGCTGTCATGTCTTTCTCTTTGCATGTTTGTGGGTTTTGGGAGATCCAGTTGGGTTTTTTTGCCATGTTTGGTGGAGGGTGATCACTGCTTGTTTTGTGGGCTTTGTTGCTCATCTTTTTCACTTAGCTTTGTGCACCATCTCAGAGATCCCTCTTCCTCTTCCTCCACCTTCTTCATCACTTCAAGTTACAGAAGGTTTATGCAACTAAACTGACTGCAGCAAAGATAATGAAACCTTTCTGAAAAGGTAAAACCTCTCACTTAGGAGAGGATGCTCTCCATCTCTGATAGCTCTTTTTTCTTGCCTCCTTTGCAGTGCATAGAATCACAAAGTCATCAACTCATTAAGGTTCGAAAAGACCTCTAAGATCATCAAGTCCAACTGTCAACCCAACCCACCATGCCCACTAAACCATGTCTTGATATGCCACATCTACACTTTTTTGAACACAATAATCCAGAAAGGTGTAACATCTACTTGATGTTATGGCTAGCAGTCAAAAAGCTTCAGGGCTGCCCTTTAACTGGGTACCAGAGGTATCTGGAGTTGGACACCGAGGACTCCATGGTGTAACTTTAGAGTCAGTCTTAGCTTCTGCTGGAAGATGTCGTGCGTCTTTAGCCACTGGAGAGTGGTGCGGCTTTGCGTGTGCACAACAGGTTGGGGCTGTCAGCACAAAATGAGCTTTCACAGGCTAAGATCATTGACCCAAAGCTTTCAGGAGGTTGAAGGGCCCAAAATAAGGTTTTATGTGCTTGAAAGCTTGACATCTGTTTTGAGTTTTGACAATTGCTCTAATTAAATGACTAAGTCCCCTTACAAATTTGCTTACTTCAGTATTCCTGTTTCTTTGAGACAAATGTATTTCAGCCCAGGTATTTCACACTGTCTGTATTCTGGTAGTGTGAGCTTTATGGTCATCTCTGGAGAACTGTGGTCGGGATGTAACTTAAGTGTTAGTAGGAAAGAGATTCGTTGCCCGCTCAGAAATGGGAAAAGGAAAGCCCTAAGGCAACGAAAGCCTACATGTGATCTATCTTAGGATAAAGGAAGAGTTGTACTGGACAATTAAAGCAACGTTTCAAATGTTTAATTATGTGGGGCCTTAGGATGGGAAGGAAACCAGGAAATTGTGCAGACTTTCTCATCTCCTTGCAGTGGACTCCCTCCAGCGTTTGGGGGATTTTTTGCTTTGTTCAAACACTTTGTTGGACATTCCTCGCACTGTTTCAGTAATTCCTCAAACTTTTCAATACCTTGACCTTGCACTCTTGATCTAGTTAGCAAAAGCTTTTGTATTTGATGTCCATCCAAGTAAAGCCGATGCATGCATCAAACGCCTTTATGATTTTGTACACATCAGCAAGATGCTTTCTTCGGCCGCATTATCTCAAAAATCCAGACAAAACTTAGAATTCCTGCGTCTGTGAAATGCTTCAATGCCTCTAGCATTTCATCCCCCATGAATACCAACTGTCCCTGTTGTGCTTTTAAATCCAAAAATCCCGAATGCTTTTGCTAATGTAACTTTACTAATTCATTCTACAGTTCGAGCACATCTTTCTTCATATCCAGTAAAAGCACTGATTTATTTTAGAGTAAGTTTTTTAGTAAAATACTTTCTAAATTTGAGTGGAAGCCAATGGTACCCCTTAACCATTTTCCATGAAGGTCTCCTAGACTCAGCACAGGAGGTGACACTCACAAGGCCAAAATACTCCAATTCTCATGAGTTTTGAATTAGTTACCATGCAGACTGGCAACGTTTTTTCACATTTCTTTTAGGCGTGTTTCTGCTAAACAGGCAGAAAAGGGAAAAGTAGAATAAATTCTGCTTAAAAATTCCGCTTACAATCTATCACAACATCCAACAGTGGGACTTAAAGTTTATTACTACTTAATTAAGATGCACAATATGTAGAAGAGAAGCAGTATTTCTAATTTCATCTATGTGCATGAGGAAAGGGAGGATAATGTAAGGATTCTTCCTGTTTGCACTGGAAAATGATCATAAATAGGCCACGTGATCCCCAAACCAATGAAATCAGTATTATTTCCCTCACTTTAACCGGTTTCAAATCAACAGCAGAATTTGCAGTGGTCCTTGGGTTTTGTGGTAGGTCAGAACAGAGAATATCCTTCTATAGAAAAAGCCCTAAAATAAGAAGTCAGAAAAATAACTTCAAAAAAGCAACCACTTCCTTCACACTCTCACCTCAAAATTCAGAGTGTTCCCTGTCTGGTGTTGAAAGTTTATTTGGGTTTATTTTATAAATAATATTGTCCTTAAGTAACAGCTTATTGTAAATTTGAGATGGGAGATGCTGGAGGATAATAAGCAAGGTGATTTCCTCCAAATATATCTCCCGGGTAACGACAGCAGTTTATTTGGGTTGTAAACTTTTGATTAAAGGAATATATTTTGTTAGATGTCTGTACAATGCCTTGTACAATGGGCACACATTTTCTTTGTGGGTTCCAGGAAAATATGAAGCCTAGATGAGAAGATACTTGGAATATTGATTTTTTGTTTGTTTTTCATTCCAATTCCATTCAGACACTTTCTGATCTTTTTCAGAGCAAACAGGGCATACCTGGTACCGTTTTTCTAAGAGCAGCTATTGCGTTGTGAACTGTTCTAGCAGGTAAGTGGGAAAAACAATGCCAGTATTATTACAAGTACTTTAATAAAAAGCAATACTGCGAATAACAGAGAAAAATTAGTCTTTAAATAACTTCAAAGAATAATAACCATAGAGTCATTGAATCATTAAGGTTGGAAAAGACATCTAACATCATCCAGTCCAACCGTCAACCCAGCCCCACCATGGCCACTAAACCATGTCCCCAGGTGCCACATCCAGGCGCTTCTTGAACCCCTCCAGGGATGGGGACTCCACCACTGCCCTGGGCAGCCCCTGCCACTGCTTGACCACTCTTGCAGTCAAGAAATTTTTCCTAATATCGAACCTAACCCTTCCCTGGCACAACTTGAGGCCATTTCCTCTCGTCCTATTGGTAATAATAAAATACAAAAGTAATAAAACATGGAAAGTTGGTGCATCATCATTACCTGGCCTGCTTATGAAGTCACAGTTTCCTAAGCCTGCTATATCCATCCTCTTCAGGAAGAGAACCATGCTGGTTAGGTTTGACTCCTGTATTTTGGCTGGTAGATGTGGTTTCATTTCTTTGTATGTAAATTCCTCGGGATACATGCAGAAGAGTTTTCCTGGAAGAGATTTCAGGAAAATTACCTTTTTTTTTTTTAATTTTTGTTTTTGCATTGCTGCATTGATTCTATTAAGAATTTGAGCTAAGGAATTTGAATTTTGAGCTAATAATTCTACCTGATGAAGACATGCCCAGAATTTGTTTATGCATCTCTGCTTGACTTTTGCTGATAGGCTGCGTTATAAGAGAGTCTGCTCTGATTCTAGGATTGTACACCTTTAAATGAAAGAGATATTAAGCATCAGATAAGTAAGTGAAGACTACAGAAATATTAATGGTCTGCATTGAAATTTTTGTCTGGGTCATTTTACAGAAAGTGTAGTAACAATTTCATTTCTTTTTATACTGTGCATTTCACCAGCTTGGAAATGAGAGCAGTCAGCACTTTGATAAATGGACAGACACTTACGTTTTGCAATAACTCTCTAAGTATACTCTAAGATAAATGTCTTCTTCTGAAGAAATGCACCTTACTAAAGCACAAAATGTATTATGGTATCATCAAGAAAAGCATCAAATAAGATTATTTATTTCTTCCAATGACAGAATCCCAACATTGTCTGATAACATTTTGTTCCATAACTCCAGATTTTTGTTTTAATGCTGAAATCTGTCAGTTCAGGACAGGAGACAAAGACTGTAACAAGGATGCATAATTCCCTGTTTTATTTTTTTTCTTAATTGTACTTTATTTTGATTAAATTTAAGAGCTGATTCAGTCACTGTTCTGACCACAAGATGATGTCCATAAGCTTCTGTAGTATATGGCAAGATGTATAATGTAAGGATAAGGCAGCTTTCTGGTCATATCGTCTGAATTGACTTTGCTTTACGCAGGGTTTTAATTTAAAAAGCTAAAATGTTCTTCAATGCAGGAGACAAATTCCTTTTCCTTTATTTATTATAATAAAACTTATTATATAACTCAACTGCAAGACTTACACGGGATTTTTTTCTGCACAAAACTTTGCCTCTTCCCTCTACGTTCAACTGACTTTCAGCCATATGGTTTGAATGGGAATTTGAACTGCTGAGAAATTAATATTGGAGGACTAAACTTCCTAAGCTGATATGACTAAGTAATTGAATTAAAGGGTAAAAATTGTGTAACTGATGGAGGTGATTTGATGGCTGTCAAGACGCTGTTGAAACTGATTTGTTCCCATCACTTTGCATTTCTGATTCACAGAAATCTGGAAGCGCTGAATTTTACTTTGGGCTTCAGATTACCATGGAGGTGAGATTCATTTCCATCATCCAAGACAACTGGAGTTTCAGAAATATGTTGAGTTATGCATGGCCTAATTGAAAACTGCTTGTTATTGGTGGTTCCCAAGATTTTGCCTGAATTATTCTCAAGGCTAATCACAATTAATGATCCCCAATCCAAAATTTTAAGAATGCTTAGCCTCAGTTTTGGTGATTCAATTCTGGATTATATAAAGAAACTGTATTATATGGTATTATATACAGACATGTGTTTGGAGCTGCACTAGTCCTTCCCAGGATGGGGTGGAAAGCAAGAACTGAGGATATACTTAAAATGAACTGTAATAGGTCAAAGATTAATTTGATAAACTGCAGCATTTTGAGGGACTTGGATGGAAGCACATATCCATAGGGAGCACCAGCAGCTTTAAAAAGAGGTGATCCCCTGTGTGAGCATCCTTTGGTGTTGTACAACCTGTGACACTACACTGAATAGGAAGCTGTTAAACAAGGGATGAGGTTTATCTGTTAAACCAGGTAATCTGCCAGTAGGCAGCCAAGAACCGATTGTATTTCACTCTATCTACAAGGTATTGAAGGGATAGTTTTGATGGATGGGTCAAAACAAAGGTAAGATATGGTTTGCAAATGAAGCGTCATTGCTTTGGTGCCCAAATAAGTGGCAGTTTCAGCAGGGAGTGTTAATCTGGTTTTAGAAACTGGAAGATGTTGTTTTCTGACTGAATTTCGGAAGGGATTGTGTTTTCTTGCTTGCTTTTTGCATGAGATGTCCATGAAAGTTATTTAAAGGTTGTTATTTTGAATGTTAAATTTACTATAGAATCTGACTTGTGAAAAAATAGACAAATATTTGATATTTTAGAAACCATTTGCATCAATCTATCAGCTGCACATTTCCCTTTGCCCCGCCCTGAAAAAGACTCATGCATAGTTAATTTTTGTCATCTACAGATTTTGGTTAACTTTACTAACCTTTCTCCTTTCAACACCGACATCAATGACAAAGGTTACGTTTTTAATCCAAATCAACGATTCTCCAAAGCTTGTGGTGAGTAGCACTTTTCTTCTGTATTTTTTGCAGCATTTCTGTTTGCCTTGATTTGGTTTGGGAATTAGGTCTTGTTTTGTGGGGTATAAAGGAACTGGGATGAGTTCTCCGAGGTCAGGATTGAAATTAGGCTGTTCCTGTCTGATCATTTGGTAAGCTTTTTCAATTTCCTGCAATCAGGGGAAAGATATTATCATTACTATTACTATTATTATTGTCATCATCATCATCATCATCTTCATCATCATTATCATCATCATCATCATGAGTATGACAAACAAATATCAATACTTAATTTTAAAGCAACTTCTTTATTCTAAAATTAACTTTAACTATGTATCAAACTATAACAACATTTAGGTCTTCCATGATTAATAATTAAAGTTAAAAAAGGGAACAGGACTATGAATGAGAATTTACCGACTGTGTTTCCTATCTATAGACCAGGAAAAAGCTGAGCTATGTTGTGAAATGTCTTTTTCTCCTCTGCAATTTTCAAAATAGTCTTCTCTCACCTTAACCATATCCAACCTCTAGGGGAAGACAGATGTGCAAAAATATAGTATAGGAATAGCAAGAAATTATGAAACACTCACTGTACTTTATGTATATAGGGCATGTAGGATGTGTCCACATCAGTCATTTAGTGCCAGAATTCGGTGCTCATTTGTTGTGTGTAGGGCTAGTAATGCTGGAGCAGACTCAGGTGCCCCACTGATGTACCCAAAAAGTTTTCTTTTCCCCCTAATGATTAGAAACTCTATGCAGACCTAATAAAGTCATTCAAATGTCCCTAAGCTGTGTAAATGGAACATCACCCTTAAAAAAACTCCGCCAATTCAGAGGTCAACTATAAATTGTAAAAGGTATTTTTGTCTTTTTTAAAAAAATATGAAATAATTTGTGAATTATTTTTTAAGGTGTACAAAAATCATTCATAGCCTTGTTTCATTTGAAAGGATTTTTTTAAAAAGCATTTTTATTAGCAAACATTTTTCAAAATTGAAAACCCAGACTGAGTTTCTATTTGGGAGTGACACTGCATTCAGAGTAGTTACTGGCTGAAAGTATTCTGTAAAAGTTCTTATAAAGATATGACAGTGGCATCTAATAGCAAGGCTGGCACCAAGACAACAGATAAGTCTTAATGTTCTTAGTTTATTCATTTTTTGTTCTGTTCAAAAGACAGCTGAGTGCTAGGGAAGAGCGAGCCATTAGCAATATGAAACTTTAAATCACAGTTAAGCAAGAGTGCATGGGATGTGAACTGTGTGGTAACAGGTTGTAATGAGTGTTTTGTTCATCGTGAGAGAAAACACTGAGTAATCTCTTCTTGGCAAGAAAGAAATTATTATTTTAGTATTGTTCAGGACTTGCCCATCAAAAAGAATTAAGCAGAAATAAAACTTTCTTCCCGGTCCTTTGAAATGGAAAGATGATGTGTTTTCTCTCTAACATTACCTGTTGTAAATATGGGAACTGATACAGAGGATTCATTACTTCATCATTTGTAAGATTTCTGTCTATAAAGTTTATAACTGATTATTAGCATTATTAAAAGTGTTACACATCCATCCCTTTTTGCAGTGAAAAGCAGTACTACCTGGGTAGCTTATGGTAATCTAACTTTGCTTGTGAAAAGTCATTATCTCCTGGAGCTACTGGGGTGGATTTGTTGTTCTAGAGCAGATTCAGTGATACAAAGTGGAAGGTTGAAGATCATTGTCTGGAAAT